CGTTCTTTGATATAATAATATAAAATCAAATGCAATGCACTTTCTCATCAGAAAAAATGAAAATCTTCCAGTAGACCCAGTTGGGAAAGCCCCTTAACTACTTCAATTGGGAAGAGTCCGTCAAACGGACGGACAGTATATGGGCTAGCCAGTGGGGCTAGCTAACACCCTGAATTTTTAATTGTTTGTATGCTATTTATAATATGAACTACTTTATTCTAAGCCCCAGGGGGAGAGCAGTTTGACTTACACATTTCCCGGGGGAGGGAGGGGGAATTAATGCATTAGAATCATGTTTTTTCAAAGTCCCGGGGTGTCCCGGGGGTGTACCCCCAGGGCAGGCCATTGATATGTGCATAACTTAAAATTCAAAGCAATCTTCCCAAAATATTGTCTACAAATTTTGAAATATTTCTTCAGAGATCTTTTCTGAATCAGTAGGAGTTGTTTTATCTGAAGTTTTGAAATAAACAGATGTGCAGAAATACATAAACTAAAACAGCAGATCAAATTTCAACTAAGGTTTAGGGTTAATCCACCTTAGTAATCCACCTTAGGGTTAATCCACCTTAGTGTTGGCCAAGTATTCAGCCCAGCTTTTAACATTAAAACAAAAACATTTAGATATTATATTTTATACTTTTCCATTTAGTGGCACATTTCGCTGGGATGATGCCAAAGACAAAATACTTCTAAGAGAAGTTCGTGTGGTGGAACCGTATATATGGAAGGGTGGCAGCAAACAGGCTGGGCAAGGATGGACCGAGACTGCAAAATTGGTCAATACATATGAGGGATTCAAAGATATGCCAAGAGATCAACGAGCTGTACGTGAAAGGTTTAATAAATTAATGGGAGAGTTTCGGTCAAAAACAAGGGCAGAATTGAATGCAAGTGGTATTAGCCCAGATCCACCAACAGAAATTGAAATCCTTCTTGAAGAAATTTCTGACATTATGTTAAACACTGTTCATACTGATAAAAACAAACATGAAAAAGATAAAAGAGCAAAGGCTTTGTCAGTGAGGGATGCAGCTATGCATACATGGGGTAAGAGCAAAGAAAGATTGGGATCAAGTGAAGATGAGTCAGATGGAAGTAGTGAAGAGAGCAATAAGACTAAACAGACTAAACGAAGAAAACAAAGAAAAAGAAAGAGCAGTGGTGATGCTTTTGAGTATTTAAGAATGCGATCCGAGCAGTCTATGTTAGTTCAACAGCAGGAAATGGAACTTCGGAAACAACAGGCTATGCTTGAACAACAAAAGTTTGATGCCAGAGAGAAAAAACAGCAGCAGAAACAAGATGAGCTGATATCACAGCAGCAAAAAATGAATCAGCTTCTAGAAAATCAACAAAAACAATTTAATTTACAGCAACAACAGCAGCAGATGCAAATGCAGATGCAAATGCAGATGCAGGCAGCAATGCTGGCTGTGTTAGAAAAGGTTGCCAAGTAACATCTTGTTGACATAAAATAATGAACAGCTTTGATTATATTCTGACTCATATTTATGACATTTCCTATTTATTTTACAACATTCTAGTTAATTGTTGCATTTTGTAGAGTAAAAAATTCATTCCAGTGGCAAAGCTAGCCATAGCAAGTGGTCATGCTATGCAAATTTTTCATTATTTGCACTATTCAAACCTATAAGATTAAAATGATTCGTTTGTTATTAATAGTGTAGCATGACTGGTTTCCATGGCTGCATGACTTTGCTACTGGGTTATGATATTTCTTGTTTTTAATGTTATGTTGTTTCAGGTTTTCATATCCTGCAAATGTGTTACACTAATGGTCCACCCCTGATAAGTTTAACCTTAGGATGTATTGTCAGTGGCTTGATGATTAATTAAAACATCAGTTCAAGACAGGTATTCATCAACTGTTGGTGGTGCAATATCAAAATAGTCTGACGTCATATTTCCATAAAAACAAGTTAATATATTTCTCATGAGTGCACTAACAAGGTACTGCTTACCAACTGCACTCAAATGTATTTTGAGGTTTTTCTTGTAGTCTATAAACTTAAAATAGTTGGAAATATCCCCAAATAGCCATTCCACCGAAACTCGTACCTCACTCATGGCTTTGTTGAAGGCTGTCATTTGAGGGGTAAGCACCTGTACATCACCTACTTTGTATGGACACATCAGCTGCGGGCGAAGGGGATAGGCTGGATCCCCATAAATGCATAAAACATCACTAGCTGGATTGTATGCCACTTGTTGCAAGGCAGCAAGAACACTTGAATCTTTGAGCATGCCTGCATCATGACGCCGACCTTCGACCGGACCAAACAAATTAGCAACAATACCATTAGGTAAAGCGACAGCCTGAAACTTGAGGGCATGTACTCTCTTATGGCCGTTATATACCACCCGTTGGTTCTTCCCTGGACGACAGATCTGTCGAACTGTTCCATCAACAAAACCAAAACAGTTCCTGAGGGGTGCACCTTTTCTAGCAATTGCTATTGCATAACTCTCAAGGCACTCTCTCGAAAGAAATGGTTGGTTCCATGATGTAAGTCGATAGCCATGTGTTGTGTATACCCAGTCGAGGACGGTGTTAGTGATCATGCATAATTCTGGAACAGGACGACCAAAACTGTGAATCATATCTAAGTAACGGCAAGGGTAATTTAGTCTTTTCAACAAAATACACAAGCCTTCCATTCCACTACAAACAGTTCCTTGAGGACAAACAAATCTGTCTGGAATACGAAGCGATTGCTTTAAAAGAGGCAGGTCATGTTTTTCAAACCTGAATTCCGCTTTGCATTCATGGGGATCCAAATTTTCAAAATCGAACCCATCGTATGTCCAGTAAGGAAATTCTGGATTTTGAGGTTTGTACTGTGCAAATAAAACAACAAATTCCTCTTCGCTTATAATTTCATCAGCCAGAGCAATTATCAAGGCATCGCACACTTCTTGGAATGATGGCATTTTGTTTAAAAGATTTTTTTACTTTGTATACAAGGAGAACAGAACTTAACCGTAGCTGTATTCGTGTTGTTCTATCTTAAAGTTCCCGCGCGCGGTAGATGGTGACAGTACTCGACCCAGTCCATGCGCCGATTTTTAACCGTAGTCTGTAGTCCGTAGTCGGTTATCTTAAAGTCGCTATTTACCGGGGCGGAGGGCTCCGGGGGTTTTCCGACAAACCAAAAAGTTTTCCGGACGACAACATTTTAAATTTTCACACCCCACCCCCGTCGACAACTTTGACAATTCCCGACAACCTTGACAATTTTCCGACAATTTCCGGCAGCATTGGCAATTTTCCGACGGGTGTCAACAATAGGGGAGGGCCATGCCTGCCCCCGGCCACGGCGCCACTGATGACAATCACTAGTATGGCGTTTTCCACTGGGCGAATTTGTTCGCGCGAAGCGCCAAGTTAAGGCCGTTTTCCACTAGGCGAATTTTTTCGCGCGACGCGAAGCGAAAACCGAAATCCGGCAACGTGATTGGTCGGCGAAAAAATTCGCGGCGAAAAAGTAGGATCGCTTCCTACTTTTTATCTGTTCGCGCGAATAAATTCGCCTAGTGGAAAACGGCCTTAAAAGAGTAGGAACTGATCCAACTTTTTCGCGGCGAATTTTTTCGCTGACCAATCACATTGCCGAAATTTGGTTTCGCCCAAAATTCGCCCGAACTGATCCAACAAATTCGCCCAAAAACGGGCCTAAATAATAAATCGATATCTTTTCTTGTTTCGTGATGTAAATCACGTTTTCCAAGCACAAGAAATCACTTAAGCCCTTAAATCTTCAGTTACAACGCCATAACTTACAAGTAATATTCCTATAAAATTCCATCAGTAAAATTCATCACTCATATGGATACCACTTTATACCATCAGGAATGATTATAAATTTAAAAAAATATGAAATATGTTTCCTGACGATGACTGAATTTTAGTCGAAAGCGACAATATTAAAATGTTTATTTTCGAAGTTACCGTTGTTTTATATTTTATTGAAATACTCAGTGGTTCCCGTAATTTTTACCGGTTACGTATGACGTCATTGACGTACGTCAACGAATGTTTTTACGATTTCATGTTTGTCAACAGAGCCCCTCCCTCCCCCCCGGTAAATTTAGTTCTACAGCACTGCTGCATGAAAGCCTTGCAAAGTCTCTATTGCACTATTCGTCGACTATTCGTACTATTCGCGGACTATTCGTGCTATTCGTCGACTATTCGTACTATTCGTCGACTATTCGCGGACTATTCGCACTATTCGTCGACTATTCGCGGACTATTCGCACTATTCGTCGACTATTCGCGGACTATTCGTACTATTCGTCGACTATTCGCACTATTCGCTTCACTATTCTAGTTTTATCAATTGCCCTCAACTAGCTTGGTTTGCCCGACTTTTGCCCCACTTTTGTTGAACATTTGCCCGACTTTTCGACTTTGTAATCTTTTTTTGGGGGGAGCAGCTGCCCCCCTGCTGCCCCCCCGTCCCGTACGCCTATGCTTGTAGTTGCCACAACATTGTTTTGTTTTCATATAAATATTAAAAATTTGACTGTGGTTGATCCCTTCAGTGCTGTTTTCTTTTGTAGAATATATAGGAAAATGGAATGCACAAAAATGTATGACCCCCCAAAAATGGTTGCAGAATTTTATGCAACCCCCCATTTCAAGTGCACAAAATGGTACCCCTCCCCATTTGCACCAGCCCACCCCCCTCTAATAAATGACCGGTCCCTAAGGATGAACGGTCGCAGTGAAGTATTGTCTATTCTCATGACAAAGTTCAATGTTTTTACCGAGAAAGTTCAATGTTTTTGATGATCATTTATGATCATTTGGTGGTTTCAAAGCTTGGATCTGGTTGTTCAACAGATTAACATCAGATCAGAACCTGTCAAGTGCTCTTGACAAACATCGAAGATTCTCACGCGAATAGGCAATGTTTTTATCAACGACCGTTCATCCTGCAAGCGACGGTACATGGACTCAGTCCTGTACTGACTCAGTCGTAAAAGTTTTGGCGGGAATTGCACTCAGTCGTGAGAGTTTTGGCGGGAATTGCGGATATTAATAGGTCGGTCAAGGAATAGTTTTGAATAAATCAAAGATTTTAAATGATAGAATGTTGAGTTAAGTAATTTACAGGGCTTTCAGAGGGAATTTATAGAATTTATATTGGTCCAAAAATATTAAGGGTTTAAGCCATGTTTTAACAGGAATTGGCAGACACCCCCCGAATTAAAAGCGGCTAGTTTCGCCCCTGGATATAGCTCTTATAGCAGTACCATTTAGTGTTACTCATAATTAGACTTAAAATAAAGTCAGTAATTTGTTTATTTTGTGTTCGTGGCGAAGAGTTTTCAAACGTTTTCATCCGTTTTCAAAATTACGTGATCAAGGACGAAAATGCATGCTAGAGTTGACATGTCAGTTTTATGTCATTCGGTCACGAAGTTTAAACTTTGAGTTTTGAGGTTCCTTGTGGCATGTTGTAAAAGACGGACTGGACTGCACTGGACTGGACCGGACTGGACTGGACTGGACCGGGAAAACGCGGACTGAGTCCGTGTTTTACAAATCGCGGACTGAATTTGTAAAACACGGACTGGACTGGACTGGACCGGGAAAACACGGACTGAGTCCGTGTTTTACAAATCGCGAACTAAGATTTGTAAAACGCGGACTGAGTCCGTGTTTTACAAATCGCGGGCTTTGTGTTCGTGGCGAAGAGGTTTCAAACGTATTCACCCGTTTTCAAAATTACGCGATCAAGGACGAAAATGCTAGAGTTGACATGTCAGTTTTATGTCATTCGGTCACGAACTACACGAAGTTTAAACTTTGAGTTTTGCGGTTCCTTGTCGATGTATATGCTTTGCATGCTTCATATAAACAGGCTTACGATGATTTCAAGATACTTTTTAGTGGGAATTATTGCAAAATTTAAGCACAAACAAAATCATAACATCACCGTCAGGGATGCCGGAACCACGGGTGCAGCGGGTGCAAGTGCACCCCTTGCCTTTTACATTTTCAACTTTGTGGGTGCAGTGCGGGTGCAGACTATGGGTGTATCGGGTGAACAAAACTTTTACAGCAGACAGAATTAAACGTCGCTTGAGGATGTGTGTCGGGGTGTTCCACCCCGCAGTCGTCAGGAATTCGGCAAAGTTGTTATCCATTTGGCGAAAGGTGAAACGGAAAGCATTACTCAGTTATGGAATTTTTATTGAAGCATTACGGAGGAATTGTGCCTAAATAATTGTATTCGGTCCGAAAAAAATTGGTGACGGGGAGGAAGGTCGACACGAATGTTGGATCATGACGCCCTTTCATTTTCATTGGTGCCCTTTTGTTATGGAGTATGCCCTTTTGTTAACCAATTGCACCCCTTGCCCTCAGCAACTTCCGGCATCCCTGATCGGCAATTGATAAAACTAGAATGGTCGAATAGTACGAATAGTCCGCGAATAGTCGACGAATAGTGCGAATAGTCCGCGAATAGTCGACGAATAGTGCGAATAGTCCGCGAATAGTCGACGAATAGTACGAATAGTCCGCGAATAGTCGACGAATAGTACGAATAGTCGACGAATAGTGCAATAGAGACTTTGCAAGGCTTTGCACCGTGCTGTAGAACTAAATTTACCGAAGCGGGGCGGGGGGGGAGGGGGGTTGGCTCTATTGACAAACATGAAATCGTGAAAACATTCGTTGACGTCAATGACGTCATACGTAATCGGTAATAAAAATTACGGGAACCACTGAGTTTTAACAAAATTTTTAACAGGAAGTAGAATGACAGTCACTGGAATGACGTTAAGTTTTCTACTGGGCGAATTTGTTCGCGCGAAGCGACAAGTAAAAGAGTAGGAACTGATCCAACTTTTTCGCGGCGAATTTTTTCGCTGACCAATCACATTGCCGAAATTTGGTTTTCGCTTCGCGCGAACAAACACACGAAATCCCCAATCTTCAGTTAACAACATACCTAATTTTAGTGTGCAGTGATAACCAATTTGTGCAGTGATAAAAGTAAAATGTGCAGTGATAAAAAGTAAAATGTGCAGTGATAAAAAGTAAAATGTGCAGTGATAAAATTTTCTGTGATAAATTGTTAATTAACACAAAAAAATGAGACAATGAGCAGAAAAACTGAACTAATCCCGCGAAACATTTTGAATGAAAATGATTTAATTGAAATTGAAGTGATGACTGCCAAATTATCGAACATCCGCACTAATAACATACTTATGATTCATCAGATGAACAAAGTCTCTCACCAAAGATCTCTTTATAAGTTTGGAAGATGGAGTGAATGATACTTAATAAGATTTTGTAATTACCGTATAATTTTCAGAATTCTATAGAATGTCCCCGCGCATTGCAGGAGATGCCGTTTATAGTGCCTAGATTACAAAATTGCCTGTGGATGCATGCCCCTGGAACTCCTCTATAGAGGTCTGTCACGTCTAAGCCCGTACGTAAGCCGCCTTTTATTTGCCAAGACGAAAATATTCATTTTCTTCAGTCATGTTCTTATTAAACTAAGCTGTCACAGATAGTCGTAACCGGTGCTGTCAAGGCCGCCCAGAGGGGTGCAATTTGCCCTGGGACCCCAGTTAAAGGAGGTCCCAAATAAAGAATTGCAGTGAAATATACATAGATATAACTGTCAACTAGACCTCCAGAATGCAGGATTTGGCCATTTCTGGGACCTCAGATTTCAAAATTTTTCCGGGAGATGCCCCCGGACCCCCTAATCATAGTGTTAGAACATGGAATCACGAGAGCCCCCAAGTCAAAGTTTGTCCTGGGACCCAAAATTTCCCTGAGTGCTGTGCAGTGTATGTTCGTTTTGGCATTTTTGAATGTGAATTGTAGCCTGCTTTGTTGTTACACATTATTATAAGGGTGTGTTCAGAAATGTCCAGGGTCTGCTTCTAGTGCTCGGCTAAACTTTGCACAAAAATGTGCAGTGATAAAAAATTCTTAAAATTAGGTATGGTTAACAACATCACAACTTACTAGTAAAATTCCTATAAAATTCCATCAGTAAAATTCATGACTCATACGGTTACCACCCACCACACTAGGAATGATTTTTAATTAAAAAAATATGAAATATGTTTCCTGACGA